CGTGAGAGTGCATAGGAACAATAGACAATCTTAAGAGATCCATGCGACCCCTCATTTGGCCCGATTACCAAATCCGTTTACGGTAGTACGCTAAAGTGTGTTAACAAGCCCGTAACAAAAGTGAAATCTGAGTGCCGAGTTGTGTCAATACGTACGAGTGTCACTTCGACCGGAGACTCGCCACCGTCGTCATCATTATCTCCGGATCAACATGTTGCTCCTTTATTTGTTTGGAGAAATGACACCCAATTCATTAAAGGACGAATTCACGATGAAAAAGCAACCCATTTCAAATTAACCTAGGGATGGTGAGTGGTACACGAAAGAAGGAAGAACCATGAGAAACGGCCCAGAACCCGAGAAATGGTACCCCTTCCTTGCCCGTTGATTCGAGCATTGATGCGACTCTCATCGCTGTGCCCTCTTCAACACTACGCTCTCTCAGCTATCTAATCACTCGCCACGTATTGAACTACGGCGAGTGATCAGATGATCGGTGGGCGGAGATCGCCGGACCCGCCAGCTTTGAGGCATGATAGGTCGCCGAGGTCAAATTTTTCCATGCGAATTGCGCGTCAGTTCGCACCCTCAGGAGGTCCGTGGGTCCCTCAACTAGGTCAGTTTCCCTTTCTTCGACCTTCATTCTAATCGTGAATTCCTCCTTTAAGTATTAAGGCACTTTCGTCAGCCCACCCCTTCTGGGTTGAGCCATGTATTCCGTTCCTGTTCAGAAGTGTCAGGTGCATGAATGCGGGTGACATTAGCAAGATTTGCTAAACGGTGTATGATTACGTATCTCATTCTCCCAAGAGAGTTTTGAGCCAATTGCTGAATAATGAAGGCCTAGTTGGCATGAGCTAGACTCGGTCTGGGTTTGAGTTGAACCCCGAACCATGCGCGTTCAAATCCCACGCGAAAGAATCTTTCTTCCTCCTCCGGATAGGCCAAATACAATCCTATTAAAGGAGGAATTCACGATAAGAATGAAGGTCGAAGAAGGAGTAATTCACCTAGTTGAGAGACCGGCGGACCTCCTGAGGGCTGACGCGCAATTGGCAGCGAAAGATTTGACCTCGGCGATCTAGCATGGCTCACTCTTGGCGCGGTTGGCGGGTACGCCCACCGACTATCTAATCACTCGCCGCAGGTCTATACGAGTGATTAGATAGCAGAGAGAGCGTAGTGTTGAAGAGGGCACAGCGATGAGAGTCGCATCAATGCGCAAATCAACGGGCAAGGAAGGGGTCCCATTTCTCGGGTTTCGGGCCGTTTCAAATGGTTTCTTCTTCATCCCTGCTCCACTGACCACCTCTACCCTTATTTCCAATGAGCTAGCTACCTTTTCATCGTAAAATCTGCCTTTAAGCACACAGCAACAAGAGTCTGTTAAGTAGGTTGAGCTCCACGCAGTAACAAGGTCATTACCCACTAGAACAAAAATCACTATGGTTAAATAGTCCTCTAGTATACGCCACGCGCTTAAATATTCCCCAAAGTGTGGTGACATCCGTAGTCAGAAGGGAATTGCACCTAGGCATTTGCTCTCATTTCCAATCCCTTTCAGATCAATCTATAGCTATTTATTTGCATACTATTACTAACCTCATACTTCATAAGCAACTTTCAACAAATGACAAGGATATTACTACATTGACGAGGATCGATACACCGGTCCTTTTCTACCAGTAACAAAAGCGGAAAATAGCGTATAACTCTCTCTTAACAGACTACAACAACATATGAAAAACAAAATTGTAACAACATAATCACAACAATGAGATGGAAATTGATAGATCAGTCACAGACATCGATTTGAAAACCCAACCAATAACATGAACCGTATAGAGCAGTATCCGGCCGGGGATACTTCCCCAAAGTATAGGATTCGTTCCTGGCTGCTGCATAGACTTCAGGAGAGACAGCAGAAGAAGCTTACTTGGGAACGCGGCGAAGCTCGTTGGTTAACCAGAGTGTCAACCCCAAAAGGTTCATAGAACCGCACTTGATGAAGCGGAGGCCAACCAGACTGGCACATAGTACAACTGAAAAATAAATTTTTCTTTTGAAAGCAATCAATATGAACTAAATATTTAGGATGAAAAAACAAACCGCGCGCGGAGACAAAGTTCATCTCTTATATGCTGAATAAAAACCTGAGCAACTCACCAAGGTGTAGATGCCAAGTGCAACCTGGCCGTAGCCCATAGCCATCATGGCATGAAGGGCAATTTTAGCGCGACGGTGCAAACCCATTCGACATCCGACCAACCACGTAGCCGTGACTGTCAACAAAGTCAAGTAACCCTGAAAGGTTTGGAATGGTTTTCAACGAATACACTGTAAATGATATCGAACAATCCGGTGATAGTTATTGCGAGTTTCGAAGTTTGAACAATACGAATACATGAAATAGGCCAGATACCGGATCAGTCAACTCTCCATACCCAAATGAATCATCTTTTCCTGACCATCATGTAACACGACATTTTCGAACCTTTACAGCCTCTGTGTACTCCACCAAATGAATTGCCCAATGAACATCCTTATAATGCTTAAATAAATGAATCAATGAGCTTTAACACATCTGAAGTTGAACTAGAACTAAAGTAATCATCAACAACCACAAATAGTCGCAACTAAAATATCATTAACAATGCGGCCCTTCTCAGTTACCTTCAGTGAATGAGCTCATAGGCACGTGACACGAGACATTCGAAGTCGAAGAAGCGGACATATATTCACTCTAATAGGTAGGGGGTCCTCTGATTAAGGAAGTCGGCAAGGCCGCATTCCTGCTGCGGCAGGTGCGCTAACGGCGTGCGTCGTTGAATTCACTCTTTTGGTTTTTATATTTACAACACTCTCCGCCCGGCTCCCTGCCACTGCCCCTTACTGGTCGGAGACGCCCTCCCCGGTAGCCAGAGATCAGAGTTTACGCTGCAGGGGTCCAGCACGATAGCTCGCGAAACCAACTGCAAACCAAAAGCAGGAAAAAACAAGATTGACGTTTGTGTCCCTTATGCTTTTTCTTCACTGACGGCACTTCGTAGCAGCTCCACCTTCACGCCCAACATGCAACCTTGATCGTTCCACATGCCTTTAACCCCGCAGACAAATGATTATTCTTCTACGAATACAGTTTTGCGAAGAACTGGTTCGATCATCGCCTCTTTGGGATCGGCCTCGTTACAGTCCGGCGTCTTAAAGGAATCTTGCGCGGAAAAATCATGATTCTATTTCAGCCATAAATCACTGGCTTGAGACTCATTATCCACGATAATAGTGAAAAGAACTGAAGTATTGCTTTCGTTTTGATTAGAAATTCGAAAACTCGAAAAGGCTGCTACGCGTTCGAATTGCCCACGGACGTCTTTCACGAATGCTGGCGACGGGGATGCTCAAACTTGGTTCTTGGAGTGCATTCACTAGAAGCTCTTTCTGGCCTTCTGCTTCGTTGCATTCACATCTTACACTTCTACTCCATCCTATTCCATCGATCGATTTGTCTCCACTCTCCGAAATCGCGCGCTTTAACCCGATTCTCTCATTGCGTCGCCTGGTACGTAGCCGGCCAAACGCCGTCTTCTTTCCATGCCTCGCCTGGCTCTGCCTCCTGGTCCTTCGATGGTCCATAACGTGTAGTTTTTGTACGTTTGTTTCTCTTCAGAAACCGAATCTTCATGCGTGAAACTTTGTGTGCTATTTCCAGTGATCACAACTGACATATTCATGTTAGGAAAGAGTGCAAGAATTTTCCGCGCAAGATTCCTTTAACTTTGAGCGTTGTCTGCTCCGAGGAACTATCTCACTCGTCTGTCGTGAGGAAACACCCTACTGACAGATCACGGCGAGTCAGCTTCTGTTTGACGACATAAGAAACGATAGAAATCCCAGTAGTAAATTCCAAAGTAAAATGAAAAATACGTGACAACGTCGAGTTGCGTGATAAAATTATGTGGGTTTGTGTTCCAATCTCTACATTCCTTCACTGAATAATCACCAATTTCCTTATAACCACCGTAAGTGTTCTAATTAAAAAATCAACTTTTTCAACTTTTTTTGGAGATAGACAATACAGTTTGTAAATGTTCCCGGATAAGAGAAGTGCGGTTTTAAAGAGGACATCTGTCACTGTGGCATGATAGCTCCAAACCACATGATGCCTTAAATTACATCATATTCCGTCCTCCCTCTATAGCTCAGCCCCCACACATCAGGAGCCACTCTTCTCCACTTTCCCTTATCCGCGCCGTCACCCCCCCCCCCCCCCCCCCCCCCCCCCCCCCCCCCCCCCCCCCCCCCCCCCCCCCCCCCCCCCCCCCCCCCCCCCCCCCCCCCCCCCCCCCCCCCCCCCCCCCCCCTAATCCGTACCCCTTCCGCTATGAGCCGTGCACTGTGTAAAACTAGGAAGGAAAACTTTAAGTCGAAGAAGTTTCGACCTTCTTTCACTTCTTCCTTCAAGGCTTGGGTTACATACACAATATTTCATAATACCCAGACATTTCTCAATTCTCCCTCCTTAGAAAGTGTTCCTCGAGCAATGGATTAGCATCCCATCTACATTGTCGCTCTTTTAAGTCGATACTGCAATTTGCTCGTCGATACTGTAATTCCCGAACACTTCTCGAAAGGACGGGATGGGGATCCTGATTTAAGGTAACAAGATATGGAAACCGAAACTTCTACCATTTCCCAGAAATTCTCATCTCCCCCTTCCGAAAAAACGCCCAAAAATGTTCTACTTTTTCTTTTGTCTCCTTTTTTGAATTACATTTCCACTTCGCTAACCTCCGCTACCTACCTTGCATCCTAATGAAATGCGACCAGCCTTGTCTGACTCAGCTAACGAACCGTTGACAGCTACGGGCACTGTCTACTGAACTCACCAAATTTCTATGGATAAAATTGTGTGCTGACGTCATCTCGAAAAGTTCTTCATAACGGCCGAAACGCGTGAACATTTTTCTGGATCATCAGCTCTCCGCGACTTTCGCCATAAGTTATAAACCCAGACACATCCATCCGCTACGAAAAGCCCCTGAAAAATATCCTTTTTTTTTATTATTATACTGAGTGCCTCACATAACCTTTTTTCTATAACCGAACCTGCTTTTATCAGGCCGATTGAAAGATATTGCAAATCCAGCCATCCTCGGCTTGCGAACGATGCGCCGCGATCGAACAATGTGTCAGCGATTCCAGCGATGCGCTCAAACATACACCGATGATTCAGATTGTCCCTCTTGGAAACTGGCGAGAATCCCCTTCATTTATCATAAGTCGACGCTTGCGGCTTCAGAACACAACGTGAGACGTGAGAAGTGACTAGAGTCAACGTGCGAGTGAACGATCAATGCAAACGAGAAACCCGTTCCTACCATTTTTCGCACTCATTCGAATCGACTGGCGCCTTCGCGTTGAAGCGCTGGCACCATGTCGCTCGTCCCCCACCACCGGCGATTCACTAACGGATTGCTGGACCTGCAATGTTTGACATCGGCCTAGAGGACAATTAATCAACTCACCCATGAACGCAGTGAAGAAAACGAGTGCCTTGGCACTATGTGATAGACCTCGTAACATGCCGAATTTAGGTAGGTTTGTCAACTAAAAAAAACTTCGGGATCTCCAAGTCCCAAAATCATGTTATCCCAGAATCAAGTTTCTCAATTAGAAAAAATCAAGTTCGTCCCAAAATCAAATTCCAATATAAAAACGAGTAGGACTAACTTGAACCTGTGGTGTTACGAAATGACTAATTCCATTGTACAAGAAAAGTGAATAAAGCAGGAAAGCCATGGTAAGATGGGTTGCTAGTCGATATTGAGAAACTCGTGGAACATTGGTGTCGGAATTATTCGAAGGATCCAAACCCGATTTCACCATCCACCAGCCGATGCCACCCTAAAAAGCATGCGATGAAAAATTCAGAATTATTGCATTCGGATAGCAATAAAAGTCTTCTTTTTATCGGAATCCAATCACTGGCACTGATAAAAACACCATCATGCATCTACACACATGATCGCAGAAAGATCAAAACCGAAAATGTTTTTTTATACAACAAAACTGATAAAATGGCCGTACAACTGGAGTTCACTAGGATAACCATGTACACAAGCCCGAAAGGCTGCGAAGCGACTGCTACATTTCCGAACAGTTCATTCCTACCCTTTCCCTCCCTACGACTTGCTTCCCGTTACCTCCCTTCATTTAGCTCCTAAAAAACGATCAAAAATCGACCTGGGCAGGGGAGAGGTACATATTAGGTTGGACAAAAAGTTTTGACCAAAAATTTATTTATGTTTCAAAGACTCACATTTTCATAAAAAAGTATGTCAAGTCAAGATGTAACCCTATCACGGCACACAACATAAGTCCGACGATTCGGTGGTTTTTCGATTCGTGAAGCCCAGAGCTAGCAGCCACGAGTCGAAAAAGTAGGAGATCTCAATTCGAGCTGCGAGTCATCATCGAATTTCTCGCGTAGTGCATGGGGGACGAAACAGATGGTAGTCGGATGAGGCTGGGTCTGGCGAATAAGGTGGATGGGCTAGCACTTCCTATCCAAGTTCAGCAATTTTCCGACAAACAACATCGCGACGTGCGGAGAGCGTTGTCGTGAAGAAGGTAAATTTTGTCACGTTTCGGGCGTTTCCGTCGAATAGCATCGGCCAACTTCTGAAGCTGAGAAGCGTCGTATACCTCAGCGGTCACAGTGAGTCCGATAGGAAGTAGCTCGAAATAAAGCATTCCTTCAGAATCCCACCAACGGCAGAGCAAAACCTTTCTCTCGTGTAGTTCACTTCTCGGCTGTTTTGGAAGCGGTTCTCTGCGGGGGAGCCACTGGCGACGTCGCTTATGGTCAACAAAAGAACCCAGCTCTCGTCTCCGGTAACGATGTCCTTGAGAAGATCCCTTCTGTGGGGCGGGCGCAGAAGCAATGAAGTGCATACGCTGATCCTTGACGCTTTGACGGACTCGCGCCCACGGCCTGGAGATGGTTGTTGATAGTCCTGGCCGCATCCAAGTGTCGCCGCCAACTCACGGGTGATAGCATTGGATTTCTCCTTCGAGGCTGCGCAGAGCTTCGTCGTCGAAGTCGCGCTAAGCGTCCAGGAGAAGCGTTAGCACTATTCACAAGAAATTTCGCCAGAACCTATCGATATAGAACCACCTCGACACGCTACGCTGTATTCGGAGTTCGCTTCATTAAGTCATAATCGCGAAATACGTATAAGCGCTCGTTGATATACCCATCAGAGCGGAGCCTCAGGAACTTTCTACCGTACAGCATTGCAAAATGCTTTCGGCAGCTCCTCCAAGAAAATCTTCCCGGTCACAAAATCATTTGTCCACTTAATAAATCTAACAACACGGAGACACTGAACCGCCTGCCACTGTTCTTGAATTTCATAGTCTTCGCATACCCCAACTCACTTCGAAAGCTGACGCTCCGACCTACGATTCACATCTCTTTAGCGGATTAATTACGCCCCAGTTCCACTCTCGCCTCCTCTCCCAGCGCAAGATACGTTCACACTGTTTGGCCTTGCTCCCTTGGCCTCTGCCCGCCACTTGATTTCAAACTGTGGAAGACTAACACTCACAATAGCTGGAAGTAGCTCAATTGTATTCCTTCGCATAAGACTCAAGTATAATCCGCGTCCAAAGGTCCCAATAAACCCTTGAATCCTTCACTCCTACCCTAACTGAATAAACTGCGTTCAAACCTGTGCAAGAATGAGTGCCGCCGCAATTGCCATCCGCCTCTTCATTGTTGTAGGGAAGTATCCACGAGCCCAGAAGTATGCACAAGGCAAGAAAAACACCTAGAAATCATAGAAAACTCTTTATCGAGCCCAATAAACGGGGGAGTGTAGTTACTTACAATTCCAATAGCACGCCCCCACATGCGATGACCGTATTCCATATGCCAAATGAATTTGAATTGTGACATAGTCATCTCTTCATTTGAAGCCTTGCTAAACTAAGCAAACACTCGTCTCAAGTCACGAATTGATAATTTTATGCATAGCGAAATCCAGCGAACTTACAACTTATATTCAGGAAACATTTTATAACGTTCAAATTCCTCTTCCCACTCCTTCTGACTTAATGGAGGCTTCATCGTCCGGAACAAATCCCAATTCACCATACTCAAACCAGACTCCGTTAATCTGTAATTCTGCTCTTGAATGAAAATTGAGAAAAGAAAAAGAGCAATATTCGCTCAAATTGCTGTTTATACTGCAACTGTACCTAGTGAGACCGCCAATAGCTACAGCTCCATAGCACATCCCAGCGCATAGAAACAGCCAGTACCCCACACGCTTACGCTGCCGATCGTTCATACCCGACACATCGATGCCGAATCGGCGGATCGGTTCCTTCCTTGAAAAATAAAACATTCGGAGCAACTCCCAATCATCATGAAGAATTCCAGCAGAGACTCACCGCCACCAATTTCCCCATTTTTATTATATAACTACGAGGGGACCCTAACTTATAATGCTGGCAAATTCATGATCTAAAAATGAAGGCTACAACGGCTACCTGCAGATAGGGCGCTTACATAGTCGGTCGTCCGGTCGTAAACGAACGTAACAATCGCACCAGTATCGAATACGTATCGATCGTTCGATCGTCCCGACACGACCTATCGGATTCCCGACACGACCTATCGGATCTGACCATCGCTACCTATCAAGGCTGTGCGATAGGCAAGATCGGATGACCGACTACGAAAGCGCTCATAAGCTCGTGGGCAAAAAAAGAGCATGCCAGGTCGGAAAGAAGTCATCAAATGTTAACGGGTTCTGGAAAACTGGTATTCGTTTATGTTCTGAAC